TACAATTAGTTAAATTAAAAAAAAAAAAAAAAAAAAAACAGTTAAATTATTAAAGAATTTATATTTATACAGATAGACATGGATGTATTATATAAAACACACATGTATATTACATGTGTATATTAAATATATGGCAATATATGTATTTACAGAAGTAACTATATACATCGTCAAACCTTAAACACCACTAATATGTGTGACACAAGTGTCGTCAATGTTTATTGCCATTGCAGGGTGTTCCGAATGAATGCATTTTGTCAAGTGACATGAACTTCTAACAGATATCACACGATCAGAGAATAGGAAGCAGTGAACACTGCATAGGGACCCGTTCAATTGGAACGCAGTGCTAAATTTATAGGCATTGCATAAAGTGAAATCAGATTCAATCTTACTAGACTAAGAACGTGCTTTGCTATTTTGTGTATACTGTGACATCTGTGGCCAAAAATAGTCTAGTGCAGGTAGATTATTTTTCTTCTGGGTTTTTTTTTTTTTCTTTCTTTTTTAATGCCATGTCAGCTTCTATGGCTGTGTTTCTACTATAAAATAAAATAAAGGATAACTGAAATAAAATAGATTTCAGCTAGGAAAACTTGCTGTACCAAAATAACTGAAAAGGAAATAAAAAATGATTGAAAACTATGAAAAAAAAAAAAAAAACGAATAACAAACAACTAAACTTTTAAAACTTTACTCAAATTAAAATGGCAAATATGAAAACAAAAACTAGAGATGTTTGCAACAAACCAGATGCAGCAAGTTGCTATAAACTTATGGTCTGCATCCGAAATCACATATTCACATATAATAAGTAATTACTTGGTGGCCATTAAAATAGTAAAGTGTAAATATTAAAGTGCTTTTCAGATGCAGACACTTCAGAATCTCACCAGAAATAGTAGACTGACCGCGGACTACTGTTCGGACATACTATTCTATTCACATAGTGTTTTTCACCAACTAAATTAGGGAAGTATGCAATCTCAGATGCAGCCACTGACTTCATCTAAAAGGTTAATTATATTATTAAATATACAGTATATATACCTGTGCATCTATATAGATTGACTGATTTCAAAATGTTTCTACAGGTGTTAAAACCAAACCAGCGGCCCTCATGTTGGGTTTCATGATTGTAATGAGGACGCTGAGGCAGAGTCTGAATCCATGTGCGGGAGTTTATTGAGGACAGTTTCAGTGAACAGGAACGTCAAGGCAGGCAGAAGGTCGAAACCAGAATGACAATCCAATGTAACAACACTTACAGGGGCTCCGGGGTCAGCATCCAGGTGGACCGGTTTGAGGAGAGAAACATGAAAGGAGGGAGAAATACGATAATTAGTAGGAAGCTAAAACTTTACTCAAATTAAAATGGCAAATATGAAAACAAAAACTAAATATTAGTTTATATATACACTACCGTTCAAAATTTCTGGATCAGAACGATTTTTTATGTTTTTTTTTAAGGAGTTTCTTATGCTCATCAAGGCTGCATTTATTTGATCAAAAATACCAGAAAAATTTAATATTGTGAAATATTATTATGATGTAATATATAGATTTTTATATATTTATATA